AAACTAACAGAACTGTAAATGTAGTGAGAATTCATTAAGTGCACTTGATTATAACGTAGTAACAATATTAGGATTAATGTTAATGATTAAATCAGTAACTAGCTTATGTTCGATTTGAATGTATTCAGTTTTTATTCAAGTTTCTCTTTATTTCTCGTGTCATATAGCGATTTGAAGTTGAACTAAGTGTTCTATAACGAAATACTTATTTAATTTTATATTCTAGAATTTTAAGCTGTAGCTTTTAAAGTATGTAATACATACCTACGTATAGCCTTAGTAGGTATGTAAGATGACAATTTTCCTCGAATATTTGTTCGATAATCGTGTTGATTGTCTTAGACAAGAAATAAATTGAATTTAGACTATTGCTGACAGGAATTGTCAATAGGCTCACCCCCTATTACATGGGACTCATAACATGAATAGTGAAAAGTGGGTGTTACATTGTACAGTGGTATTAACCGCCGTAATGTGCTACTCTGCCTACCTCTTCGGGGATAAAAGGTGTGATGTTATGTTAGACTATTGCTCTCTTTTACTACACATAAGAGAGATGACACACAACATAAACTACAATTTGAAGATAACTTGCATAAACAATATGCTCTCTATGTAGTACTTTAAATTTAGTTTACGTCTAAGAGAATCTACGCCATTGTCGAATTGCTAGGTAGATATACAATAATTATTGGGGTATATGAATGTAACACTCCTTCAAATAATGTATGTGATTTTTGACAGCTAGAACTCAGCCGTATATAAGCCCATTCAAGCAGCAGAGTTCCATAGAAAAGTTTAGTGTGGACTAACGATACTAAGCTACACAAAAGTAGCGTGATTTATTCAAGATCAGTTTTCATAGACTGTTTTTATTAGTTATGCAAAAAAGCATCTCGGGGCTTACCTACTCTTGAATGCAATCTTGAGTTGCAACACTAGCGCCCTTTGCATCCATATTGCGGGGGTATTTAATGAATTAAATGGTATCGTTTGGCTTTATATTCCGTACTCAGAATGCTATTTTAACAGCTACGATAGGGGTTGTATAGTTTTGACATTGAATAATTATTAAGATTTTATTGGATTGAAATTACATTGACATTGTGATTGGTTTCAAGAGTAAGCACTCTGAATCCCTGATCCTAGATCACAGAGATATAGGATTTTGGAATCGCTGGTCTAAGGTTTATTGTCGACCCTTAAACTGTCAAACACCGCGAGAACACCGATGACCGCAACCTATTGTTCTTTAATTGTGTCTATAATGACGGTACTCGACGAGTTAAGCAATAAAGTAATACGTGTCGGTTTTTGATGCGTGGTGGTTCTGGTGCAAGAGTTTGTATCGTGTTACATTCATGTACAATCAACAAGAGAACAAAGCTTACAAGATACCTAATGTCAATAAAAAGCCATCAATTACTAATTAAGATAACATGCTTCCTGATAGATTGGACAATATAATGATATTCATTTATGCCTTAAAATACTGGTAGTGATATAGGTAAGGTTTATTATTGAATTGCATGTTAGTTATATTTAAAAATAATGATTTGTAATAAAACTTCTGGTGGCTGGCTGGATCCAGTGTAGATTTTTTATCATATCATTAGCATAGGATATATACACTTATTATAATATAGTATTTATTAACTATGAACGTTTATTTTCAAAGTATTTTATTTGTAAACTAATCTTATTGTTTCTTTACAATTTTTTGTATCGAATGTTAATTATTTTAATGGGTTGTGTATTCTATGTTTTATATTTTAATGTCAAAGCACAAATTAGGCGCGTGCGTAATTTAAATTTGATTTTAGTAAGGATGCTAGCGAATTTATATCAATGCATAATATTAAGTGAGGAGTTCCTCTTAGATTCAGAGTCTCAGAGGATTATATCGACTTTATTTATATCGAGCGATTAATAAACTATGCAAGCAATAATATGCATTAATTGGCCCTTACTTAAGAGTGGAAATGGTAGTTTCTAAGGGTAGCCTTATTAGAATAAGAGTTACGATTGAATGGATAAGAATGTTGAAGTTTTAATCTATAGATTGTAATAGCACAGCCGGCGTTATAATTGCAAACATTGTATTATCTTTTTATTTGAAGTTAATAAAGTTACAAGAAAAACATATTGTTTCATTTAATCGTTTATTATCCCAATACTCATTTATTTTAAGTCGTGCTTAAGTATAGTATAGTTCTGACAATACAAATTCTTTGAAAATGACAGAGATGCGATATTTAAGTACTACTTAAAAATGAGTAGGGGAAAGTTCCATAACGCCGGACGGCACCTAACGCCGGACACTTGTATTATCTCGATAACTGAGAACACGAGCGATTAAATTTTTCCTTAAAATCTTAGAGGTCTGCCACTGGGAGACTTCCCCCTATCTATTGTGATCTAAAATTGGATCGCTTGCGTTATTAGTTATCGAAATAATACCAGTGCCCAGCGTTAGGTGCCGTCCGGCATTCAGAAACTTGCCCCTAAAGCCTTTCAGTGGGTTTTCAGTACCTATACAGGCGTTAGTGTCACAGTCGCCATATTGTAAAGTTTTATACATAACTTATTCGAGCGAACCCTATTTCATCAGGATACGAGGCGCTATGATCGCATGACCAGTCGCGCTTGTAACACAGACACACCAGAACCAACACAAGGTGATTTGATCGCTGACAACCGGTTGCGCAACCAGGTCATCACCAGGTAGTTGGTTGGCATACAACCGTTGTACTGTAGTCTGTTGAAATAGGGCTCTTCCTATTGGAAATGGCTGCTCATAATTAGGACATCTAAATGGTTTAAGTAGAATAGATACGAGTCTTCAATCGGAGTTAATCGCCAGTCAAAAGTTTTAAGATGAAAAGTCCTGTTATAGAAATATTTAACATGTTCCGCCATTACTGGAGATAAGTCCGGCTCTTCCAAAATAATACCTGGAATGGAAAAGGGTAGGTATTAGAAAAATAATTACTAAATACGCATATTTACAGATTTTTTTTAAGAACCTTGCCCCACACTAGCATATTGTCGCGGAGAACCTAACGGGTTACCGGTGCTCCGGCTCGAAGCGCAGGAGAATGAACGGGGTGGTTTTTAGTCAGTAAGAGTGATACTTAAGGCGGGAGCAGTCATTCGATGATTTTCCCCCCTTAAAAAAACCCTAGGATATTCTCTTGTATCGTCAGAGCATTTACAAACATACAATTTCACATACACGTGACACCCAGACCCAGAATTGTTTTTTCTGTAGATTTCTGTTTGCAGTGATTCTTAAAGATTACGTAAAATATACATAAGTGAAATTTGGTATTGGTTTTTCGTCAACTCTACCGCAAAGCTTGAAGACAAGTATAAAGAGGGCTATGCTTGGTGTCTCTGAAGGATAGAATCCGTAACGAGATCATTCGACAGAGAACTAAAGTTACCGTCATAGTCCAAAGGATTAGCAAGCTGAAATGGTTGTAGGTCGGTTACATTTGTCGGAGTACCGATGATCGTTGGGATAGACGTGTCCTAGAATGGAGACCGCGTTTAAGCAAACGTAGAGCGCGTTGAATGCGTAGAAAGAATAGGCCGTTAATGATGAAGTTTTGATTAACTGAAAGTGAGAAGCTACTTTACTGTCAAGGGTCGATGATTGTTAATAAGTTGATGACCAATAACTCACCAAGAGCGATCAGTATGAGCAGCACATAAGTACAGAGACAAGCAAACACGCCAATTATGTTTAACGCTAATAAGATATTATATCTGGATTGCGAGTGACTGTAAATTGAGTAAAAGAGTATTAGTAGGTAAGTACACAACACACAAAAAAGTTTTTAAAGGCAGTAGAAATAAAGTTGAAATTCTGTTGGCATCTTTGCCTACGTCCATCGGAGACAAGCCTGTCTGTTAAAAACGTCAAATGGTAGGTATACTACCCAGATGTGAGTAGATAGTGAGATGGACAATCATGGTGGATTCAGTCAGTAAAGTCTGACAGTCTTCTTTGTCCCCTCCAGGTGACACTGTCAGAGGCAAATGAGCAGATCTATCACATGTGTAAAAAGACACCCGCAATACCACAGAAATTCCACGAGGATTTACCACCTCGCAATCAAAAGGGGGTGCTTCAAACGATACGATACTTATATAGGTAAGAACCCACACTCACCTTATAACAATAGCAAACGGCATTATATATAACTTAAATACTATCGTTATTATAACTAGATATACTTAATGTTATAAGTAGAACAGATTCAATTCAGTAGGTCATATTTCGTCTCTTTTAGTGAGAAATTATAGAAAGTCGGCAGGTGCTAACTGATCGCCTAGATTTGACATAGATCGCATTGACAGATGTAGTTGGCACCTCCTACTTTGTTGTCTATTATCCACCGCTCGTTAGGTTTGAAACTAGACTCCTTACTTGAGTAAAAGAACCTACTTGAATATTGTATTCGCACGACATTCGGTCTAATCTAGCTTGGTTGGCTACAGCGGGCCTTAATAAAATAAAACTACATAAAGCAATCGTTTATCAGTAGCATTGCTATTTAAAGTTAACTAGGCGCTATATTAAATCTACAAAATAATTATCTACTAAAAAACCTACATACTTTACTGATAATCTTGCAGATAATAGTTAAGTGTGTGTATTTGTGTACAGAACTTTTTTTTAACGCTATCAAATACCAATTCGTGTAGGATCTCAGTAAACGTACCTACCTAGTACGTTTCTGGACATATTATTTTGTTCATAAAGGTATTTTCAAAATAGCAATATACTGTCACGGCACTACACATTCTTAGATACATGGTAATATATTTACAATTGATTAAATATAAACTTATAATTAGTTTATCGAGCTTTATTTACTGCTATAATGGCGTAAACGGAGCGTCAATAACACTGTTATCAGGAGAACTTACGAGCTAACTGTAGGCTGTACGATTTTATAATTAGACGATTCTATAGACGGCGGTCTGTAGCGAGCAGTCGTTGCACGGGCGTGGCGCGACCGGTCACGTACGACGCTAAATCTATTTTGAAATTCGAACGCAGTGCGCGCGCGCGTTCCTTCGCTTTGTTTACTAACAACCAGTGTTAAACATTAAAAACCTTGTGATTATTTTAACGTCGAAATAAAAAGGTAAGTCCTTTAAAATTTTTTCTTCCTATTAATGTAACTGTGAATTATTATTTTGTGGCTCTTTTTAAGTATGCCATTCGTTCCTCGTTTGGATTTTTATGTTAAAATGTAAGCCGGTATTAAACGACTTTATAGTGTACACAACAGTCCATGTAGCGTCACTTGTGGGTTATATCTGTTTATGTGTTTATGTGCTGGTATGCAGAGCAGCTTTTGCGTCTTATTTTTATTATTCTGATTTTAATCATGTTTAAAAAGATTTGCTTCAGTTAGCCATAAACAATGCTAAGTAGGTACCAATTTTACATTCAAAATTAACTGTAAATTGAGTGTTGCGAATCTAATTTAATTATTTTTTAATAGGTAAAACAAATTAGGTAATTAAGTGAGCCTAAATGACCGGTAGTGTATAGATACCTAATTAATCAATTAAGTGTAATTAATTAAGTAATACTACGTCTATGCAAATTTTTATATTTTTTATTTTTGTTTTTTTTTTACTTAAAAGTAGGTAGATCAAATCCCTTGGTTTTAAAAAGTAAAACTACATAAACAATTACAAAAATATATTATGCTAAGAACTTAAGATATTTTGATAAAATACACAGATAAAGAATCTTAGTGTAATTTTGAAGAGAAAAATAAGACAGATAGGTACAGTGGGCAACAGATCAGCTTACTCCAATCTGTGTATTCAATGGATTTTCGACTTTATGTCAATACAATAAATTTGAAGATTTAATTTGATAAGAAAATTGACAGTAAAATATTTGTTGGAACAAATGGCCACCGTGCATAGGTTGGATAGACTAGACTGGGTAACTGTTACTCAATTGCACTCTATTGCTGTTCTAAGTTCTCGTGGGCCGATGCGCCAATAGGCATGATGCCGAAATAGAGCCGCCGAGGACCTAAGCCGGCTCGAAGTGCAGGAGTGGGCACGGGGTGGTCTTTAGTCAGTAAGAGTTTGACACGTCCTCTCGCATCACTCAAAGCAAGAGAAGTCATTGAATTATTTTCACCATTCAAAAAATAAGTTCCTGTGTTATTAGATAGGTACCTACTTCATTTTCGGAAGTATGATACCTACACTCAAGGGTAACGAGGTTCTTAATTATGCAGATCAACCTAAACATAATTAAATACAATCTCGTTTTGTTATTATACTATCAAGCCAAGGTGCATGACCTTTAATTTTTTTATTACGTCTCTAACTACCTGCCTGCTTGGTTTGGTTAGCATCTAGATGTTAACCAAAGAATAAAGTTTAGTGTTTTATTTTATTTCTATACCTAGCGACCTATATTACTTTTGTGTTTAAGTTTATGCATATTATACCTATGTATACTAATGTATAGTAATATACTACATCTAGGCAAGCATCGACATTAATATTCAAACGAGGTTGAGGTAGTAGGCAGTAGGCACTCGCTCCTCTACGGATACCAAAAAAACTTGATAAGGCTTCTTCATCAATTGTCAAATTGGTATGTGTTGTATGCACCTGCTTACCTACCTACTATGGGAAACAGTATTCCTGTTTTATCCTATGGTAGCATGTAAGCCCTATACATTTAAATTTCATGAAAAACCCGAAAAACAAACAACTAAACTCTCACGTTTAATAATATTAGTGTGGTAGGATGCATAGGTATAATAAAATAAGGTTTGAACAACTCCTTGACTTTCAATCATAGATACGCTAACATTTTTATCTTTTTCTACTGGCGTTTATGCCATTATCAATGCTATATAAGTAGTCATCCTAGACAAATACCATTTAAAAACTAGTCAAACGAGTGAATATAAAAGTCTGCATAAATGCACATTAGTTTTAATATAATTTTGTAGCGCCGATGCGCTTAACATAACGAATTTTGACATAATTAATCGAATGTCAATGCCCTTAAACAAAACAGACAAACAGATCGTAGGAAGTTGTCTTTTCATTCGATTAGATTTTAGGTAGGTAATTGTCATTAAATTATTGATTAAAAGATTTTTTAAAGGCCACAAATTGACAAATGTTCGTTTAGTAATATCTGTGGGATAGAAGGAAGAACAAAGTAGGTAGGTACCTATGTACATCATCATCATCATCATCATCAGCATATAAGTGGCCACCGCTGACCAAAGGGCACTTCTGACCACGCTTGCTCAATGCGGGTTGGCGATTTCAAACTTAAAGGTAATTAGAAATTATAAGTCCAGGTTTCCTCACGATGTTTTCCTTCATAGTTTGTCAGCGGTGTCTCGATATTCTTAGAAAGTATATATAATTTGGAAAAGGTCACATTGGTACTTGCCATTTGTAGGTTTCGAACCAGCACTCTCATTCATGAGAAGCAATCTTAAACCTCCGAGCCACCACGACAGTTAAAAAGTTTAAAAGTAGGTACCCACAAATTATTTAATAAATACGTACCTAGTTCTACGAGTAATTTTATGCGCTGGCGACTCTACGTGACTAGCCCCACGGAGACACAAACCCACGTGGGATTTTTATTGACTCAACTGGCACAAAAACTAGTTACCCGTACCGTACCGTGCTGTGTCGCCTCCTGTCCAACTGCTCATGTCTTTTTAATAAGTAAGGGTCTGATTCAGCTACCTACTTTTCTTCTGAAGTTCTAACAATAGTTACTGATTTTAATATTTCTGTGGTTAGGTACCTACAATGGTCCCTATGAATGAATTGCAAAAGTGTGTCTGTTTATTTTGAATGGAACGTTGTTATCGATGATTTTTGTGTCTGGAGGTATTAAGGATCCTGGAGAGATACATAGGTCCTACTTATCTAATGTGTATAATTTGAATTTACATGATTATTCAAGTGTTATCTATGTGCTTATTAAAACAAAGATACGGATAGTTTTTATATGACAAAAATAAGACTATATCTCACGTGATATGTATTTCCACGTTACCCATTAGCAGATAGATAGATACCTAGAGCTGTGCATGACGTCACTCAAAATCGTCTCTCACCATAGGTACCCATACGGCTCATCGTCACAAGTTCACATTAGAACCGAAGTTTTAACAGTTCATTGACTCGTAATAAAGAGATTAACTGGCTCAGGTTGTTCGAGGCCCTTTTGAAGTAGCACTTACTTCCTTGTACCTTGGACTATCATGTTCATGGTCTTAAGATATCGTCATAATTTGATCAGCAAGAATAATAAATAAATCTTAACAATCAACTACTTGTCCAAGTACTTAATAATAGTACTTAAATAGTACGTAGGTATTTATAGAGGTACTTAGCAGTTTTATCAAGGTTTATCTAGAACTTATATTTAAAGGTACCTACCTTAATAAGGATGATCTTAAGGAGGCTACGGAACTGTGCTGTAGGCAGATAACTCTGTAATCTGTATCTGCTTATTAATCTTGAATGCAGAATTTGAGGATGGTAGCAAGCGAGGTAAAGTGAGTGTAAACTTCCACACCGACGAGCATACATGAAAAGATTGATGACTGTTGATGAAGCACAAGAGGTATTTAGGAATCGTAGCAATTGGCGTTTCATAGTTTCTGCCTACCTCCATGGGAGACAGTCGCGGAGAACCTAACAGGTAACCGGGGCTCCGGCTCGACGTGCAAGAGAAGGAACGGGGTGGTTTAGAGTCTGACACTCCCTCCCGCCTCACCCAGGCGGGAGCAGTCATTCGATGATTTTGCCCCCTTAAAAAAACCCCATGGGAGACAGGCGTGAAGTTATGAAAGTCTAAAGATTAATAACTTGGTAATATCATTTATCAATTTCAGCCCGAGGCTTGGCCCGTCTCTCGTATAATAAAAAGTAGCCTTTGTGTTATTGTAGAGCATAATCTTTTCTTGTTCCAAATTTAAACCCGATCTCTTTAGTCGTTTTGACGTGATTGAGTAACGAACATATACACAAACACATTAACTCACAAACTTTCGTACATAAAATATTAGTTATTTAATACGGTACTTGACAGGTAGTCAAATTCAATACTTTTATTGAAATGTCAAAAGCGATACTTTTATATGAATTTTGTATTGGATCGCAACTTAAGACATCATCATATCACTGCGTCAAATAGCATACTTATAATTTCTTAAAATTAGCGAGAAAAAATCCAAAAGTAGTAAATTATCAAATCAATTGATTAGAGTATGATTATTTATTAATTATTTATTGCATTGAAAAGTTAAAACAATTTATTTTAAACCTAGGAAACTAGCCAATTACCTATAGTAAGATTTCTTCCATCGGAGACAACTCTTTTTCTTACTGACGGCAAAGTATAATAAAAAGAGATTATTAGAGGTATTCGCTTTTAGATAATATGTATTAGAACAAGCACAAATTAGTATTTATAATCAGTACTTGAAGAACACCACAAAGTCTTTCATATCACTGTCCTATCAATAAATCGGGTTGGATTGGAAGTCCCGTCTCGATTTAATTACAAACGTCACGCATAAGGTTAAAAATCTATTAAACAAATTCACACTTTAGTGATCAAATTGTGTCATTATCAGAACCGAAATGGCTAGCATTTGTTGTATAGCGTTCTAGACAAATATTTGGCTTTAAAAAACGTAAATACCTGTCTAATGTTTTCTGAGACACGACCAGCAAGACTTAGTAAAAAACGTAATGCGATAAAAATAATTTACATATTTATATTGTTAGATAGGTATTCTAAATAAACAGCAGTTTATGTCACTGAACTAACAAAACATTTAAAAATTATATTTAGTTCTAACACGCTGCTCATGTGAACTACTTTCGAAAATAGATTCAAGATACAACGTAACAAATGCATCTGTGGGTTAAAATGCCAGCGAAAACAAAATGGGCCACGATCTTTAAAAAAATGTGTTGGGATCACAGGTTGGGATAGTCGAGTTTTTAGTGTCATCACGAATCAGCTTTTTTTTTTTTTTTTTTTTTAAAAACGTTGCCCCACACTAGGATTTTCTTCTGTGTCGTGGGAGCGTTTACAAACATACAAGTTCACATA